ATGTGGCTATGCAGGGCAATAGGCAACAGGAAATACTTCTGGAAGGGCAGGGGTACGGGTGGGGGCTCAGAAGGGACTAGACAAAGAGTTATTCCATGAGAGCAGAAGCAGGAGTTGGCTAGCCCGGGAAGTCAGTGTATTGCCAGGGCAAAACCCTCTGCAGTCCTTACCTCACAGACTTTGTTATTTGCTATGGTTCAGGGACTACTGTACATTCAAATAGGAACCTTTATCTCTCTTCTCCTGGTCTCGTTTCTCTGCTGTTGGCTGATGGCAGGGAGGGAAGACAAGTTGATGGTCAGTGCATAGGTGGCTGAGTATGAGGAGCTAACCCTGGACCTAACAGAGAAAACTGCATATCTAGTAAAGATTCTTGAACTAGAGAACGGGACTCTGAGTTGTTTTCCTGGGGGATTGAGTGAGTACATTCTTTGTGTGGGAAGAAGAAAGCAAGCAGACAGTTGGATGGCTTGGGTTGGGGGCGTGGGCAAACTGGTAGAAACTGCTACAAAGTCCTCTTGTCCTTTTGTTAAGCCCAAACTTCGTGATCTCCAAGGACCACCAGGGAGCCGAGTCCTATGCAATAAACAAAAGAGCCTCTTCCATGCTAGCATGGGCTCTGTCCCACTCACGCAGGCAGCATGGTGGAAGAGAGCAAATGCTAAGCCCTGGAGTTTTACTCCGGTGGTGATGTCACTGCTTTGACTAACCCTGATTGGGCTGGGTCCAGTTAATGGAGGATAACTCCGCCCTCCCCCACAGTGGAGTCAGGAGTTTTATCCTCGCCCCACCCTGCCCTCTCACTTCCATAGTAATAGAACTAGCCAGATACCCGGCTTCCCGACTGGACTACATTTCCCAGCCTGCCCTGCAATTACATGACTGAATTCTCAATAACACCATGAAGTGATGGATGCCACTTCCAGGTCTGGGACCTCAGACCTTCACACTCTTCCCGCCTGCCCCTCCCCCCTTCATGCCAGCTGGACCCCACATGATGGCAATTCTGCTTTGACCATATGGATGGTGGCAGTGTCCTAGAGGATGGCAGAACAACTTTGGAAGGGACCATGATTTTGAAATTATTTCAAGGAGAAAAGCTACCCAGCTGATGTCAACAGTTCACATTGATGTTATCACCCCCCAAAAAGGTATACTTCTTTGTCTTATAAGCTACTCAAGGGTTAGTTCTTTATGTTACACTGGTCTGAGCTTCACTAGTATATGGCTGGCATCAGAAATCCCTCTCTTCTTATCCTGGACCTGTGAGGAAGTCTGGGGGGAAATTTTTGTATAGGTACGTATATGCCCACATGTGCACTAAAAAGAGCTGGTTAAAACAAACAACAAACAAACGAAAAACAAACAAAAAAAAACCCTTGAGGAGTCGTGCATAATGAAAACAATATTTAGTCTTTGCTTCAAGTTACTGGCACAGAGCTTCTAAGACGTCTGAAATTGTCTGATAGGAGTGTCTTTTGTTGTTCATAATGACCATCTGACCACATCTGCATCTAAGCTAATGAGGTGACCCAGGGTGGGACCCCTATATAACATCAGAACCGGGCTGATTGCTAGAAAGACAAGACTTGAGATTAGAAGGTGGGACTTTCAGCCTCACTCCCTGACCTCCAGGGAGGGAAATGGGTCAGAGATAGAGTTCCAAGGCCTCTTCAGTAATGAAATTTGGGAGCTTTTGGGTTGGTGAATACATTGGAGAGTGGTGTGCCCAGAGAGGGCATGGGAGTCCCACACTCCCAGTCTCATACCTTGCCCTTCACAACGCTTCCATTTGACTGACTTGCATCCTTTCTAATAAACTGATAAATATGTGTTCTCCTGAGCTCTGTGAGTTGTTCTAACAAAGAATTGAACCTGATAAGGGTGTTATGGGAATCCCTGAATTTATAGCTGGTTGGGCCCTGGGACTTGGGAATGAAGTGTGTGTGTGTGTGTGTGTGTGTGTGTGTGTGTGTGTGTGTGCGTGTATGGGAGGGGGAAGGGGGGGAAGTCTGGTGGGACTGAGTCCTTTACCTGTGAGGTCTGTGCTAACTCTGAATAGTGTCAGGGTTGAATTCAATTGTTGGACACATGGTTGATGCTGGTGGATTGGAGAACTGGTGTGGGACATCCCCACACATTTGGTGTCAGAAATTGTACCAGGGGAAAAAAAAGTCACCCTGGAGCTTACAGTGTACATGGGTTGTGGAGCAGACAGGGCTGACCCTAACACATTGCTTTACATAAACACTTCAGCTTTGCCTCTGCACCCTCTGAACTCCCGTAGCCAGTAATCGAGGCATCAGCCTTAGGGATTGCTGCGCTGCCCACAGCGGCCAAGAAACTCCAGGCTGCTATGATGCCAACCTAAGAAGATGAAAAATGGGTCTCTTCCAAACTCAGCATGTAGTTGAGAACAGCACATACATGTGACTGCACATTCTAGAGAGATACCTGCTAAGTGGTGTCCCCAAACCAGCATTGCGACCCTCGACCTATCTCCCATGCACAGGCTGTATACGAGTAGGGGGAGATTGATGTCCAGAGAGAGTTTGTGTTTTTTGCCCCTTTTCTCCTACCTGCCCCACTATAAGTCTCATGAGGATGAATTACAGGATCTGAGATGTCACTTTATGTTTCTGAGGCTGAGTCAGGCCCAACCTGAGGGTAGCAGAGATATAATAAATTAAATGAGAAATTAAAGTTTTGATTTAGATCGAACAGGGCTTTTTAAAATTAATTTTTTATTGAGATCTAATTGTGTACTAGACTTTTTTAATACGTGCAAATGAGACTATCTGTTCATCTTTTTAAAGTGACCAGAAAAGCTATTGGATCTCCCTTAGATATTATCCAGGGGAGGAGAGAGAGAGACATAATAGAGGATGTTTGAAAGGCAATAGAGAGAATCAAATAGATTTTTTATGCCCGTGCTGGCCAAGTGCATCTCATTCAATACCAGGTTTGGGTGGGAATGCCTGCCAGCGTGGCGCTCATGCTCCTCCAATAGCCAAGAACCCTATGGAATGGCTACCGGAGCATTTTCATTAGCCATTCCAAGTGGCAGCAACAGCAAAAACAGCAAAACATTGCTTTTCCTAGTATTCTCTCGTCAAGGCCAGAACCAAGCCCTTACATGGAGTGCAGGCAGAGGCTGTGGCCTGACTGTGGAAGAGGAAGCAGAGGAGGGAGAAAGACGCTGCCACACAAAGGTGTCCTGACACAGTGAAAGGGAAGGTTCAGAGAAAGCCTCAGGAAGCTCTCTTCCGGCCTCAGACGGCCTGCCTGCCAGGCTTCCTCCACGGGAGACACAAACTTCCATCTTATTGGACCTAATCCTCTGTTGTAATATCTGTAATATATTAAACACTTCTTTAAAGAAGTAAAAAAACAAAGCAAAACAAAAGCAAGAACCAGGTCTGTAGAAATACGGACAAAGGAAAGCAGGTTATTCACACAAGAAATACAAATGGCCACTACGTTTATGAACATATACTTAACCTAAGTAGTAACTCAAGAAATGTAAATGTGAAAAATGAAATACCATTTCTTATGTGTTATGTTGGCAAAAATTTTAAACATGAATTTTATCTGGTTGAAAAGAATGTGAATTATATCTGGGATAAACAGATTTTCTCATTCAAGTGTGATGAGACTACACCTGGGAAGACTTTTTGCCAGATAGTCTAGAAATAGCTATGAATGTTAAAAATGCATCTGTATGAATATGTGCACAGGTGCATGCATGGGTGTGTGTGCGCGTAACATACAGGAAAAGGCCTGAAATATATATAAACAACAAATATAATAGTGTTTTTGCTTTGTTTCTTTTTTTTTTTAAATACATTTTTATTGATTTCAGAGAGGAAGGGAGAGGAAAAGAGAGATTGAAACATCAATAATGAGAATCATTGATTGGCTGCCTCCTACATGTCCCCTACTGGGGATCATGCCCTTGACCAGAAATGAACCAGAGACCCTTCAGTCTGCAGGCTGATGCTCTATCTTCTGAGCCAAACTGACTAGGGCTTAATAGTGTTTTTATTAAGAGAGGAGGGTCAGTGGAATGGAAGGAGAGTATTAATGAACTTTCACTTTTTATGCCAGGATTTAAAGATTTTATAGCCAATAGTATTTTTGTAATTCAAATTTTTAAATAAAAAAAATCAGTCACTAGCTTTTCAAAGATTAAGTAGATATTCAAAATGTTTTCATTGATTTATTTCCCTTTAAAATAGATGTATTGGGTGCAGAGTAGGCAAAGTCTACTCAAATTTGAGTAACTTTGGCAACCTGAACCCTCCTTTGTATTGGTAGTTTAGTATTTCACAACCCCAGGAAGAGGGCTTCCTAAATTGGTAATAAAGGTAATGTTGTACATCCGAATGTTGTACAATGCGAATACAGGTAATGTTGTACATCCCTGCGCAGTAACAAGTAAGACTTGTTTTTACTAATAAAAAATTAAAAAATACAGCCAGGACCGGTTTGGCTCAGTGAATAGAGCATCGGCCTGCAGACTGAAAGGTTCCGGGTTTGATTCCGGTCAAGGGCATGTACCTGAGTTGCGGGCACATCCACAGTAGAGGGTGTGCAAGAGGCAGCTGATCGATGATTCTCTCTCATCGATGTTTCTAACTATCTATCCCCCTCTCTTCCTCTCTGTGAAAAATCAATAAAATATATTTTTTTAAAAATTAAAAAATACAATCCTAGCGAAAGATTTTGAAATAAAGGCTTCAGAGATTAGAATTTTCAATAAAAAATTAAATCTGCTATTAATTTTTGTCTTTTCTTTTTGGCAGAGGCTGTCCTCGGTTTTTAAGCTTGTGTGCCAAGGAAATGACCTTCTGCCACCTCGTACTGATGTACTTGCCTGTTTTCAGACCAGAATTCATTCCCAACAACAGCAAGTCTTCCAAGAAGTCTTTTTTTTTTTTTTTAATCTCTAAGTTTTAAGTAAAAAGTAGGTCATTGAAAATATAAGAAGATATTCTTACTTGGTCCTCAAAAGACAGAGCCTGGGCAACATCTCTTGGGAATCCATCAATAACAATGCCCTCTTCATCAGGAATTTGCATCAATCTCTGTTTTATCTCTGTAATTGTGGTTTCCTTTTATAAAGGAAAAAGTATGAAAAACCGCAATTAAGCTAAGTATACTCACAACTGGTATAAAAACTACAGACGTATTAAAAAAGAAAAAGCAAATTATACAGTCGTACCTGTGGGGCCAATTCTCCAGTTGTAATTATTTTGGCAATGAGACTCCATTTCCTGTTGCTGCTGGCACTGTGGATCTTCTTTCTTAACAATTCTCCCACTGAAATGTATTGGAATCTATAACGTTCTGCGATTTTCAAACTTTGAGTACCCTTCCCACTTCCTGGACCACCTATGGTTTAAAACAGGTTAAATCATGACCCTCTGACACAATAAGAAACTCCCTTTTGTACAATGATTGCCTTCATCTTCAGATGCAGATTCTAGACCAATAGTAAGGACCAGGGCAAGTACGTGTTCCACCAGTGGCATCTTAATCCCATTCCTGAATGCAGAGCGAGTGCAGATTAACCAGGGAAAAGGTAGAACTGTCCTGATCAACTGCATTAAATGAGAGACAGTTTTTCCTTTACCTATTTTACTAAATGACCAATTAAAATTTTTTTTGAACAATGCAGGTTAAAGAGACCCTCACGATTATTCTATGCAGTTTTTTCCTCATAAACAGAAAAATCTATGGCATACAAAGGACAATGACTGAAATAACAGACTTGTGTTTCATGTCAATAAAGAGTTGATGTGTAATAAGGTGAACTAAAACAATTATTTTTGAACCAAAGGCATACTAATTTAAACATATAAATAAATAAATAAATAAATAAATAAATAAATAAGTATTTATTTATTTATTTCAGAGAGGAATGGAAAGGGAGAAATAGAAACAACAATGATGAGAGAGAATCACTGATAGGCTGCCACCTGCACACCCCTTACTGGGGATCAAGCCCACAACTTGGGCATGTGTCTTTGACCAGAATTAAACTCGGGACCTTTCAGTCTTCAGGCCAACACTCTATCCACTGAGCCAAACCAGCTAGGGCCACACTAATTTTTTAAATAAAAATTTAATTGAATTTTCTGTGATAACATTGGTTAATAATATTATATAGGTTTTAAGTGTACAATTCTGTAATACATCATCTGTATATTGTATTGCATGTTCACCATCCAAAGTCAAGTCTTTTCCCACCATTATTTATTCCACCTTTAGTCTCTTCTACCTCCCCCCACTCTCCTTTACCTCTCATAATCACTTTTCTGTTGTCTATGTCTATGAATTTATTTTTATTTATTTGTATTTTTGCTTACTCCTTTTTACCAGGTCCCCAATAATATTGACCCAACTTATTTAAATCTTTTCCTGAACTTTTTCTGCTCATGCATGTCCTTGTGCTATCTCCTTTAAGTTCAAGTTTTATGCAGCAAATATGCAGAGTGAATGAAATAGATTCTCAAGGTAGAATCATTTTACAGAACTCATGATTAACTTTGATTTTGAAATATGTTAGTGTGAAATAATCACCATTTGCAATATAACATAATACTAATGCTTGATAGTTGCCATTTAATTTTAAAAGCATAAGTACTAAAGTAATTATGAATATATGGCTCAAATTTTACTTCTAAATCATATTAGATTATTTTAATTAATTTATATTTCTAAACAAGCTAGATGATTTGGAATCTAAAGTCTGAATAAATTTCAAAATACAGCATGGTAACTAGCCTAGTCTGATTTATTTGTTAACAATTATAAAAATGAAATGTTTTCAAATACCTAAGCATAAATTATTGACTATAGACAAAATATTTTTAAATTCAATGTCTAATAACTAACAAAATGCTTTGGTAATGTTTGTTAAAATATAATTATAATTTATTAAGCAATATTGAAAATAAAAATTCAATAGGAAAGTGAGTTGATGTTCTCTCTATTAATTCAATATATTAAGTTTTGGACGGTAGAAGTCATTTATATATAGTTATTTAGTAAATATTTTTATTCTTGTTATAAATAATCCTATATAATAAAAGCCTAATGTGCTAAGTGTCCAGTCAGCAGTTCAACCAATAAAAGTACAATATGCTAATGACATGCTAAGGTTGCTCGACCACTTGTAATGGCTTGTACTGATCACCACGTGGTAGATTACCTTGCTGCCAGGATCTGGCCAATCAGGACTGAGCAAGATAGGCCAGACTCGCTTTGGAGCCTTCTCATGGTCCCTATCTGGCCCAGATTGTGCACCAGTGGGGTCCCTCAGCTTGGCCTGCACCATCTCCCAATTCAGGACCCCTTGGGAGATGTGGGAGAACTGGTTTCGGCCCCATCCCACAGGCCCCATCACAGGTGCATGAATTTGTGCATTGGGCTTCTATTATAAGTGGAAAAAAAAAAAAAGACAAGTGTTTTGTTTTGACAGAAGAGTTCTAAGTGGGTAGACTTAGGGCTTATTTTCTCATTAAAAAATTTAATGTGCAGAAGTCTAAGATCAACTAATATAACGATTATCACCTCTGAACCCAATCCCAAATAATGAACCTAATAATATCTGGCTTTCACCTTTTTATTGGTTTATTAAACTTAGTATAGGAATTTGTTTATATTTTTATCATTCTTTAAGAACCTCTAAATAGTATTTGATTAGATTTAACATTATGAACTATTATCAGATTAAATTAATTACTTTTCAAATCAAAAGCTAATTTGGGTTCTAAATAGCTACTTTTAGCCTATTAACCTATGGGCAAATCATGGGTTGGCTTGAAGGGAAAAAATTATGAACACTCCATCTAAATTTCAAATTGATTTGATCCCTGAAGAATAAAAGTTATCTTTCATAAACTATATTTTCATACTTAATCTTACAAACCATCAAACAAATAGAATGTAAATTCCACTGAATTTTAAAAAATTAAACATACTAAGAAATTTATAGCACCTTCACAGAAAAAAATTGTTTTTTGTCAACTAATGGAGGCAATAGCAGACAACACAATTGATTAATACAATAGAGAGAATAGCATTAATTTATTGGAATAATTTGATTATAGAAACTTCTTAAAATTGCCCCAATTTTCTTAGATAACCAAAGGTTTGACTTTTCCTTTCTTTTTTTATCTCAACTCTCTAAAAATTATTTATAATAATTGGTTTTGTATCATTCTTGTAATACAGAAAATTTACAATTCATCATGCAAATCTAAAACCAAAATCACACCCTTGGAAAGCAAGTTGATTTTACTAAGTAACAAAGGAATTGTGAAGTGGAGGATCTATATCTCCTCCAAAGATCTTAGTTTACTGAAATATTTTAATCATTTTTATATAAAATTCACAATCACAAAACATTCACCTATGTGCTGTTTTACACAGAACAATTTGCTATTTCACTTTTTTCATGGTCAATCAAGACTCTTTGCTTATCCTGTTAAAAACCACTAATATTTATTAACAGGAACAAGAAGACCAAAATTTGAATAATATGTAATTACAAAATGATAAAATAATTTCCAATTATTCTTCATCTATAGCACTTTTAATAAAGTATTTATTTATTTCTTATAGTTAAGAACCTCAAAATTTTAAGCACACACATACAAATTACATTTTCAAGAATAGATAGAAATTTATAAGAGTAACTATCAAACACTATAAGAATATTTTGACTTTCAGAAAGTTGATTTCTATATTTTCTTCCTATTATATTATTCAGGGTTAGATAGGTTTGCAATTTCATTTTCACTACACTTAGAGATATACAAATGTCATTCCTAGTCTGGTGAACTTAAATTCTTGTTATAGCTTGGTGTGTTTATTTTCATGCTTTTTCCTTAGTTGCCATCATTATTATATCTTCTAGGAGCAGTTCCTTGCATGAAGGATGTATTTATACATTTTGCCTTCAGTTAACAGTTACTGACGAAAATAGCTTTGCACATTTCACATTAGATTTTTTGCTGTCAGTAATCTCTGAGAGAGCTGAGTCAAACTGAAAAACAATACAATGACTATATATGTTTCATGTTCACAGGTATCTTCATAATTTTTATATGTTTTTAGGGAGCTAGAATTTGCAAGAGTGGTCAAAAAAGTACTTAAAACATTTTCAGTACCTATTCCTGGTGAAATGGCATCAGAATGATGTTTCCATATTCAACATAAGATTCAAAGTGGAAAACAAATTGAGAGGTAAACATCACATAGTCCTATCAATTGATGCAGGAAAAAGCATTTGATAAAATCCAACATACTTTCTTGATACAATCCCTCAGCAAAATGGAAATAAAGGTATCACACGGCAACATAATAAAAGCCTTATATGACAAACCTACAGCCAACATCATACTCACTGGGCAAAAATTAAAACCATTTCTTTTAAGAACAGGAACAAGACAGGAATGTTCACTTTCATCACTCCTGTTTGACATAGTACTAGAAATGCTAGCCATAGCAATTAGACAAGAAGAAATAAAAGATATCCAAATTGGAAAAGAAGAAGCAAAACTGTCATTATTTGCAGATGACATAGAAAACCCTAAAGACTCTATCAGAAAATTATTAGACTTAATAAGTGAATTCTGCAATGTAGCAGGATACAAAATTTACACTCAGAAGTCTATGGCATTTTTATACACTAATAATGAACTTACAGAAAGAGAGATTAAAAAAACAATGCCATTTATCATTGCACACACACACACACACACACACACACACACACACACAAATTAAGATACCTAGGAATAAACTTAACTAAGGAGTAAAAGACACACACTTGGAAAACTACAGGACAATGAAAAAAGAGATAGAGGAAGACATAAACATACTGTGTTCATGGATTGGTAGAATCAACATCATTAAAATGACCATACTACCCAAAGCAATCTATAGATTCAATGCACTCCCCATTAAAATACCAACGGCATAAATCACAGACCTAGAACAAACTCTTCAAAAATTCATCTGGAATAAATAAAAACCCAAATAGCTGCAGCAATCCTGAGAAAGAAGAACAAAGTAGGTGGGGTCTCAATAGCAGATATCAAGCTGTATTTCAAAGCCACTGTTCTCAGAACTGCCCGGTACTGGCACAAGAACAGACATATAGACCAATGGAATAGAATGGAGAACCCAGAAATTGACCCAAACCATTATGCTCAATTAATATTTGACAAAGGAGGCAAGAACATACAGTGGAGTCAAAACAGTCTCTTCAATAAATGATGCTGGGAAAATTGGACAGATACATGCAAAAAAAAAAATGAAACTAGATTACCAATTTACACACAAAAAAACCTCAAAATGGATAAAGGACTTAAAGTTAAGATGAGAAACCATAAAAACCTTAGAGGAATCCACAGGCAGCAAAATCTCAGACATATGCTGAAGCAATATCTTCACCAATACAGCTCCTAGGGCAATAGAAACTAAAAAGAAAATGAACAAATGGAACAACATCAAAATAAAAAGCTTCTGTACAGAAAAATAAACCATCAACAAAACAACAAGAAAGCCACTGCATGGGAAAACATATTTGCCAATGTTATATTCGATAAGGATTTAATCTCCAACATTTACAGGGAACTCATACAACTTAACAAGGGGAAGAAAAACAATCCAATAAAAAAAATGGGCAACAGACCTAAATAGATACTTTTCGAAAGAGGATAAACAGAAGACCAAGAGACATATGAAAACATGCTCAAAGTCACTAATCACTTGAGAGATCCAAATCAAAATGACAATGAGGTACCATCTCACACCTGTCAGAATGGCTATCATCAACAAATAACAAATGACAAATGTTTGTGAGGATGTGGAGAAAAAGGAACCCTCATTCACTGCTGGTGGGAAAGCAGACTGCTACAGCCATTGTGGAGAACAGTATGGAGTTTCCACAAAAAATTAAAAATGAAACTCTCATTTGACCCAGTGATCCCACTTCTAGGAATGTATCCCAAGAAACTAAAAACATCAATCAGAAAGAATATATACACACCTATGTTCATAACAGTACAATTCACCATAGTTAAGATTTAGAAACAACCTAAGTGCCCATCAACAGATGAGTGGATTAAAAAAGTGTGGTACATTTACACAATGGGATACTATGCTGCTATTATATAAAAAGGAGCTCCTACCATTTGCAACAGCATAGATGGTACTGGAGAGCATTATGCTTAGCGAAATAAGTCAGTCAGAGAAAGATAAATATCAGGTGACCTCACTTATTTGTGGAATATAATGAACAACATAAACTGATGAACAAAAACAGATCCAGAGACAGAGAAGCATTGATCAGACTGTCAAACCTCAGAGGGAAGGCAGAGGAGTGACGGGGGAGAGAGCAACCAAAGGATTTGTATGTATGCATATAAGCATAACCAATGGACACAATCACTAGTGGGGTCAGGGCATGAAGGGGGGACAATGGGAGGATAAGGACACATATGTAATACCTTAATCAATAAAGAAAAAAAAATTAAAGATTCATAGTGGGAATTTAAAAAATTAACTCATCACTATTATTTGGATTAATTCTTAGATGTTATATGCTTTTACAACACTACTCTTTTAGATATACTTGTCTAATAACATTGAAATTTACATTTTATTATAATTGCTAAAGATGATTTACTTATATGAGTCTTTTCCAACATATTATTATCCTTAAAGGGAAAAACCCATTGTGTTTAGAAAACGTCTAAGAAATTCAGTTATCTATGTTAACAATTAAATAGTCAAAACCATAGGACAAAAAAATTTGAAGGGATTAGTCCTTCTTTCATTATAGAGAATTTCTATGACACTGTAATGGATTCTATAAAAGTGAAACAGCATTAGATTATATAATTATAACAATTTCTGTTGTATTGAAAATTATGCTAAAATATTTCCATCTATTGTCCCTTGAGCTTTTATTTCTATTGTTTGCCATTTTTCATCTGACTAATTTTTTTCAAGTGTGGTACATAATTGACTTAATTTTTTTAAATGCAAAAAAATACACAGTTAGTAATAGTATGAGAATTTTGCTTTCTGTCATCATACCTATGACAAGAATGATTTTTGGCCGAGGTCTAGTAGGATCAAAAACCTCGTATTCTTCAATTAACTCTGCAGTCTCAGAGAGATCTGTATCACTTTCTATGGAGAATTGATGGATTGGAGGGAGCCGATCATACCGCCGATAAGGAAAGTTTGAATTTTCAGGCATTACTGCAAAAGAGTAAGACAACTTTGAAATGGGAAAAAAAAAAAGCATAATGAAACATTTCTCCCCCACACCCCCACCCTACTTAATTAGTTAACAACATTTAAAAACTAAGTGAGTTTGGTTATTGATTTTTTCCAACTTGAGGAAGACCCCATCACCTAAGTGTTCAGGAAACTTTTTCTTAAAAGGTCAAAGTCATTAATTTGGGCTTAGAGGAACATACAGTCTCAGACTCAACTTGGTCACAGAAGCAGGGATGCAGTCATAGACAATATACAGGATGGGGCAAACATAGCTTTACAGTTGTTCGTATGGAAAATAATACATAATAAATAACACAAGAATAAACTGTGTTCTGCATAAACCTACTTTTGCTCCACCCTGGATAAACAAATAGATGTGCTTGTGTTCCAATAAAATTTTATTTATAAAAACAGGCAGTGAGCCAGAGTTGGTCCATGGGTGATGGTTTGCCACCCCTGCAAGGAAGGAACCTTCTTAAGTGTTGCCTACTCTTGCTTGGTCTTTTATACACATCCTGGTCTCTGCAAATGGTTCTCCCTAGAACTGTGTAGTGCACACCATCACAACATTCACAACCATATATAGCTGCTATGTCAATGCTTATACATAATATATTTCATTTTTGTAATAAATATATACATATTCACAATAATCGAGGCACTCCAGTGTAGTTTAGTTAAATGGCTTGGTGGTAAAATGCATACAAACTTAGGGTACTGTTAACAAGACAGGTAAAAGGGTAGCAAACAATTTCTATGTTTAGAATATCTTTCAACACCATTGAATTTTACTTTCCCAATATTGATTACTTTAACCTCCTTGATTTATAAATGTAACTATGAAGATTTACATTTATATCTACAATGGCAGGAGTTCAATGAGTGGGTAGATCCATTTGGGTTTGAGTAGTAGGAAAGGACTTGCAAAAGAGGCACGACCTGAACTTTGAAATATAAGTACAGGTGATGAAATGTGAGCGTGTATCTCAGTTGGTGGGAAAAAAACACAAAGACTCAGAGTCAGAATTACAAATGAAATATTCAAAGGGACCAAAGGACGGAGCTGGTAAGCCCAGATCAGGCAGGTGGTGATGACCAGTTGTGGGTATATAATGAATTCATGGCTCCTTCCTTCCTCACCCCATGCATGTGTCAGTATTCCTGGAGGCACAGAGAAGCCCTAACTAATCAAAGGAGACCTGCACAAGGGGACAGGAGGCCATCTGGCCTTCCCCGAGGGGATCACTGCATTTTATTGTGGCATAATGCTCACAGCTCCTTCCAGGTTGATCAGGTAGAAATTTCCATTCTTGTCGAAACCGGTTTGGCTCAGTGGTAGAGCATTGGGGTGCGGACTAAAAGGTCCCAGGTTCGATTCTGGTCAAGGGCATGTACATTGGTTGTGGGCACATCCCAGGTAGGGGGTGTGCAAGAGGCAGCTGGTCGATGTTTCTCTCTCATCGACGTTTCTAGCTTTCTATTCCTCTCTCCTCATCTCTGTAAAAAATCAATAAAATTTATATTAAAAAAAGAAAGAAATTTCCATTCTCTGTTCAAACGATAAATGAAGTCATTGACTACTGTCCCACTGGTTGTAATTTAGTTCCACAAAAGGCAGGGAGTAGTTTGCAGATGACAGTGGATATTCTTTAGAAAATTCTGGGAAAGGCTCTATTAGGGAAGGCACTGACAACAGTATTCTGTTCTGTCTTGAAATTGAATTACGTCATCCAACACAGGTGGGTAATATAAACTAGGCATTATTCTTGATTACTTTCTTCTCTCACTTTTCATGTCTACTCCCAGAGACTAGCTCCAAAGTATTTCCCAAATCTAGCTCCACTACTACAACTCTTCTCCAAGCCATCATCATTTATCTAAACCAGCGGTTGGCAAACTCATTAGTCAACAGAGCGGCAAACCGCGGCTCGCAAGCCGCAGTTTGCCGATCATGGACCTAAACTACTATCATAGACTCTTGCAGGTCTGCCTCCTTCCACACTGTCCTCACAATTTATTGCCTAAAATGTTCTTCTTCTGTTGGTCCCATGGTTGACTGATTTTTGCCATTCACATACCAGCTTAAGTGTCAACCTCCGAAGAAGAGGACTTTGTTGACTATTTAATCTAGGATAGCCACCCAGTTAACTTCAAGGACACTCCAATAAGGATCTGCATAGTCTACCACCTCACATCTGAGAGGCCTCTTATTCATTGTTTGTTTTCTCCTATTAGAATGTTAAGTTTCAGGACAGGGGCACCTTGTCTACCTGGAGCTCAGTATCTCTGGGATCTAGACCTGTGCTTAGCACAATCAGTGTCCAATAAATATTTGTTGAACCATTAACAAAGGGAACAGCTTTGTTGACATAGACAGTTAACCATGGAGAAAAGCCCAAAGATGGACAGGTAGAGTGCGGGTACAGTGTGGAGGGCTTTGAATATCAGAGTAAAGGCGTTTAGCTTTAATTTGGTAGAAAGCCAGTGGAGGTTTTGTGTTTTTTTGTGATTTTTTGTTTGTTTGTTTTTTGGAGGGGGCAGAGTGCGTTATAAAAATGACGTAATGAAATATGAAATTTTTTAAGGAAAATTAATCTGGTGGTGGTTGGAATGCATTTGAGTAGGGAGAGACTAGTAGCAGAAATAGTAGCAGCTCAGAGGCTGTTAAAGTAATCCACAGGTGAGAAGTAAGGGATCAGGTTAGCAGGATAGTAGGGGAAAGGGAAATTAATGGTTGGACATGAAGGACATGGTTAGAATTGGGATAAAAGAAATGAAAGGAAGTGACAGTTCAAAAACAATTGCCAGGTTTCAAGTCTCAAAGGATAAGGAATGCATTGCATTTCATATAATATATTTCTGTCCTTTCTTCTCCATTCTGGGAATACTGAACTTCTCTCATTCCTGCCTTTATTATAGCCTCTTCTCTACATCAGGAACTTCTATTCTTTCTCCGTTCCCTGGTGTACTTCACCCATCCATCCTTCTCTAACTCCTACATGGCTTACTGTCTCTGAGGATCAGCATGTCACTTCTTTCAGGATTAGATTAGATCCATCCTGCTGTTAAGATGGTTAGTTTTAGAGCATTTGACATTTCCTATAGTGCCCACTGTGCTTCTAAGTATATTTTTAATGCTTGACTTCCTTGCTAGACTGTAAGCTCCATGGGGGCAGGTGCCATGTTTGTTCTTTCTTGGTGTTTACATGCCCAGTCCTAAGAGACTGACACATAATACTCAATAAATGGTTATTTTATTGCTCAACTTGACTCACTGACTGACTTCATGAAAATAGAAAAAGGAGAAGGGAGTGTTGGCTTTGAAGCAAATATGGTATGTTTGTATGTTTGATTTTGGATATGTTGAGTACAAGACGACAATGCGATAGTTCAGAAGAGAAACTCTATGTACATTTGGAACTATGGGACGAGAACTCTTATTCACAGGTTATTATTTGTTCAATTGTATTCATATAGCAGGAAAAAAGCACATTCTTAGCTCACATTTACTAAGTAATATGCTTTAAAGAATTATTAGCCAATAATTTATCCTTGTTTTATTTTTAAATCATATTTCTACTTAGGGAAATAATTTGCTTAAATGATTAAATGTTTTATGTCATATAATAATTTTGCATGGTAATTACATATTAGCATAGTTATGTCAATATTTTACCAAGAATGTGTGAATAACTTTTTGTTTCTCGAAATAATCATAATGCTTTAAATTACTGTGACATTAGCAATTTTCTTGAATTGAAAACCCATTCTATAAATTATAGCTAAAACCTACAAAGCACAAATGGGTAAAGCATTTCATCAAATAAAATTTTATTATTCTAAGACAAATCCTTGTCTGTTTTGCAGCATACATTCTAGAAAAAGGACAGTATGGTACAACATTCTTGTCACTATAGTACATGGATATGCTCTATTTGATGATTCATTTTTAAAAAGAGGGACATCTGTTATACTTTCAACAATAACATTAACTTTTTTAAAAATTTTTATTTTTTATAGTGGTAGCACTGATGGTATTAAAAAACAATGTCAGGTGGTTGTTGTTTTTTTCCTCAACACAATAAGAAGACTAAACAATGACTCATTTTTCTCATTCCTTCTGAAACAGAAATCAGGCATTTGTCTTTGTGCTAAACTTAATCTTTCCAATTCCTAAAATGTTAATAATTAGTTTCTAACCTTAAAAAAAAGTCTCTGAGTAGGAATTCTGGGACAGGTATAGAGGCTAAAATAGACAAGCAATTTTAATTCTAATGAAAGTTAAACCTATATTTTCCATTCCTGTTTTAGCTTCTTCTGCCAGATAAGGAGTTACAAACTGATTATCTGTGGGCCCAAAAAGAGTCTTATAGAAATGTTTTGTGCAGCTTGACATTTTTTCAAAATTTGTTCTTGCCTTTAGACCAGGGGTGGGGAACGTCTGGCCAGAGGGCCATATAAGGTCCAGCCCTGCAAGGCAACTGCAGGTGAGACTCAAAATTCAATAAATCAAGAAGCTTTTTTCATAGCAACATCAATTTATATTAAGCGGATGATGTTAAAAATATCCAAAGGGCCCTTGGCAGAAAAAAGGTTTTCTACTCCTGCTCTCTAGTTCTGCCCTCTAGTTTGACCACAGTCCCCACTACTTGTCATTACACGCTGGCCTGTCTGGCTTCTATGTATAATCAAGCCAAGTAACAGTATAAAATAGAAACAGATTTCATGTGTTGTAAAACTGTCACTTTATATACCTAGTCTGAGAGCAGCCTTTCAACTAAGAGAATATCATATCCTCTTAGAATTAAATTTAAAAGAGTAAAATTTTCTTAAACCGAATCCAGTACTACCTGAGGTTTGTTAGTGTTTTAAGGAGAAAGCAGTTATCCAAATTAGTCTCACTTGATTTAACTAGCGCCTGGGGCACGTATTTAACATTGAGACAGATTCTAACAACATGACACCCTGGGAAGTAAATTAGCCATTTTGGGAATGTTTACTAGTATGAACTCTTCAGACCCATGAAAATATCATTTTGTTCCCTGAAGCAGTCATTTACTGTGTGGTGTGCTGCAGCGGTAACTGGCTGAAGGTGCTCTCCAATCCCAAATCACCCAGTGACAACTCCTGCATCGGCAGGGAAGGATTCTTCTCCTCTCTGGAGATGTTTCTGACCCAAGGTTTCTGCTTTCCCTCTCTGCTTGTATTTTTCTTTTCTTTTCTTTTTTTTAAAAATAAATCTTTATTGTTCATATTATTACAAATGTTCCTCTTTTACCCCCCCCCCCTCCTCCTCTGCCCTTTTCCCACCCCTCATTGTCCTCATCCATAGGTGCACAGTTTTTGTTCAGGCTCTTCCCACATCCCCCTTTCCCCTTTTCCCTAAGAATCGTCAGTTCACTCCCCTTCCATAACTCTGATTCTATTATATTCAACAGTTAATATTGTTCATTAGATTTTTTTTTTCATTTTCTTGGTTTTTAGATTCACTTGTTGATAGTTATGTAATTGTTGTTCATAATTTTTATCTTCCGAAAGAACGCCCTTCAGCAAGTCATATAATTCTGGTTTGGTGGTGATGAACTCTAGCTGTTTTTTACTAGCGAAGCTCTTTATCTGGCCTTCGATTCTGAGTGATAGCTTTGCTGGGTAGATTATTTTTGGCTGTAGGTTCTTGCTATTCATCACCTTGAATATTTCTTGCCATTCTGTCTGGCCTGCATGGTTTCTGTTAAGAAATCAGCTGACAATCGTATAGGTGCTCCTTTATAGGTAACTACCTGCTTTGCTTTTGCTGCTTTTAATATTCTCTCTTTGTCTTTTGCTCTTGGAATTTTGATTATGATTTGTCTTGGTGTGGTCTTCTTTGGATTCCTTTTGTTTGGAGTTCTGTGCACTTCCTGGACTTGTAAGTCTAATTCTTTCACCAGGTGGGGGAAGTTTTCTGTCCCTATTTCTTTCAGTATGTTTTTGATATCTTTCTCTCATCTTCTGGGACCCCCATAATTCTGATGTTGGTTCGCTTGAAGTTGTCCCAGAGGTTTCTTACATTATCTTCAATTTTCTGGATTCTCTTGCCTTCTTGCTTCTGCGGAGGAGTGTGTTCTGGCTCTTTATGTTCCAAATATTTGACTTGATTCTTATGATCTTCCATTCTGTTTTTAGGACTCTGTATAATATTTTTTATTTCAGACAATGTATTCTTTATTTCTTGTTGATCCCTTATTATTTCTTGTTGATTCCTTATTAATTCTAGTTGATCCCTTTTCATATTCATAGGCCTTATCGACCTTTTCTAGGAAATTCTTGAAAAACCTTATAAGCATAGATTTGAACTCTATATCCAGCCGCTTTTTGTCCTCCATTTCTTTCGTTTGTGATCTAGTTCATTGTCTCGGCATTTTCACAGCTTCCTTGATGGGGCGGAGTTTCAGAGTGGAGACTACAGCCTGGCTTCTGTCAGCCCCGCCCTATGCGGCTCCTGAGTCTCAGTAATCCCCATAGTCCTCAGTACTCGTTGCAAGCACCTCTGAGAGAAAGGTGCCCTCAGTTTTCGCCTGCCACCAAACAGTTTAGGCTCTCCCCCAATGAGCCCAGAACTGGGGTTCAGTTCAGTTGGAAGTGGAGTTGGAGGTGGCGTTCAGAGCAGTCTGGAGCTTTTGTCTCCTTCCCGCCAGGGCAATTCCATGGCACAGCCAACCGTCCCTTCTCTGCAAGCAATGTGCACGACTCCAGGGGCTCTGTCTTTCGCAGCTTTCCTGGGGTTCCGCCTTACAGCCCAGCTCTCTCTGGATGAGCCTGGGTCCCCGGGGTCTGGCCTAGAACTAGGGTTCAGAGCAGTCGGAACTGGGACCCAGCACAGTCAGAGCTTTTATCTCCTTTCTGCTAGGGAACACCAGCCAGGCACTCAGCCGCCCCTCCTCTCCGGCTCCGCGCACGCCGTGTGTCTCCGTACCTCAGGCTTTTCCAGCTCCTCTGCTCTTCCTTCTGGTTTTCTCCTTGCTTCTCGTTGTAGAATTTCCAGTCAGTCAACTTTCCTGTAGTTCTTGGTAATGTCCATTTTATATTTTAGTTGTATTTTATTGAAATTGTTGTGTCAGCTGCGGCTAGGTGTTTACCTGTGCAGCCATCTTGGATTCTCAGTCTCAGTTTTCTCTGCTTGTATTTCTTAAAAATTAACACATTTGTCTTTTTTCCACACTGCATTCAGATAAAACCCAAGTGGGTCATGACTAAGTAAGACAAATTAAGATTTATTTCCCCTTGTACTTATTGCAAGTAGAATGATGTTTATTTCAAATTCTGTCTATACAGCTGAAACTTTTCATTGGTACAATTTTCGAGAATGGTTTGAATTTGGGAGATATGATGATCTGGGCTACTGGAAAATAATTAATTTAGTTTTTCCTGACTGGAACTAATTCCATTTTGCATGTACTATTTTACATTTCAATTTCATTCAGAGTCTGAAAGGCTGGTTGGCTGATGCTGAACCACTAATTTTTAAAAAATATATTTTTTATTGATTTTTTACAGAGACAAAAGGAGAGAGATAGGGAGTTAGAAACATCGATCAGTTGCCTCCTGCACTCCCCACACTGGGGATGTGCCTGCAACCAAGGTACATGCCCTTGACCGGAATCGAACTTGGGACCCTTGAGTCTGAAGGCCGACACTCTATCCAATGAGCCAAATCGGGGTTAGGGCTGAACCACTAATTTTGATAAGCAACTATTTCAGCAAGTTATTAGAATACCATGAATCTCCTCTAGCAAATTAGCTTTACACTATTCCCAAAATTGTTAAACATGTTCATGTCTTCTACTACTTTCATAGCACCCAAATGTCTAATGTAATGTATTGCATTCAGTAGCTGCTTAATAAATCCTGTTGAATTAATAAGTATAAACCTTACATGCATTTATGCAGATGCATTCATATGAACTCTAAATTTGAAAACATATTAATAAATCAAATCTCTTCCAAGCTAGTAAAAGCTATCATTTTTGTCTGTCACCTCATTTATTTGGAAAAGTCTTATTTGCAATTTTAAGAACAATTCGTAGTCTGCTAATGCAATTCATTTCACAAGATAACGACATCAGTAATATAAAACTTCACTTATAGTCAAGTGCTGGACAATGGCATGTGATTTTGTTTGTCTTATCACAGAGGTGATTAGAATTAGTAGCAGAGGGAGATGAATCATATTCCATGGTCAAATATCCTTCCAAGAGTTTGGAAACCTGAGAAATTAAATCATTGCCTACAGTTTATATGGGAACTGCCAGAAATATAGACTATTGTTCTGCATATACATTACCAGATCTTAGGAAGGATCTCCGTGACTGTCCTCCGTTGAGGGGAGGTAAAGCCTTCTTTTCCTGGCTGACAAACGTATCCCATTTCACCTTCTCACAGCCGCCTAGTTCCTTTACTTTCTGTAAACAACTTTCCAAGTACTCTACTGGGTCTTCAGGCTTAGAACACATCAATCCATTCAAAAGGCTCTGAAATACAATAAAATGTTTTAAAATCGCCTTGGTTAAAATAGGGCAGGCCCCATCTGTAAATTCCTGGTTGTTTCTGTTCTTTGCATTTTTTAATAAATAAGAGTTGAAGTTATTATCTGGTTAAGACAGTTCCTTAAATTCTTGACCAGTTAGTTTTCAGCTGAGCATTCTGTGCTTTTTAAATGATGAAGGCAACTATCTAGTTTAAAATGGATCAGCAGTTCTATTGAAGTCTCCAAGCTGCAGTTTCTTCCTGTGTAAAATGGCAGTAATAATACCTACCTCAGAGGTTTTTTTAAGGACTGTAAAATTTGTAAAATTCGTAGTAAGTGCCTGGCACACAGTAAGGGCTCAATAAATGTTGTTGGTAGTTTTAGTTAATATTATTGTCATTATGTGATAATGTCCCCTGAGCCCTCAGGCTGGCTTATGGAACTCTTCTCTTATGTTCCGGAGGCACACAGAAAAAGAAAACTTACCTGTCATTTATACTGAAATCATCAATGTACGTATTAGCCCCCTCATTTAAACTATAAACCTTTCAACAACACAGTGTTGGTCTTGCTTATTTTTCAATCTCCTGCCCCCAACACTTTCTCTGACACACAGTAGGTGCATATTGAACAGTTTTCTAATTAGGAAAAATACTTCATTGAAAACATGAAGTCTGAGACTAAAAAAATGTTATTTGATATATAATAAGTCACTATAATATGCAGAGGTTACAGAGAAGGCATGGGGAGCATGATCCTGTATTGCTTTTTTCTGTTCCTGGTGTCTGATATGTCACATGTACTAATTTCTAAAAATGCTGCCAATTTGGAAATGTTGACTCCTAGGAACTGGACTGGTGTGAAAAATATTTTCCATTAGAGTATTTTGTGGAAAAAAATCATTGGGGATTATTATCACCAATGTACATTATTAATGCCTAAAACATCCACTCTTTAAAAGGCTGAAATCTTTCCTAAGTACAGTCTTCTATTTTCAAATTATTCTGGTGCAATTTGCTCAAAATGGTAGGCAATTCTTACTAGGTAAGTTTTTCTCTGAAATCTTAAATAGTGTGGCTCGAATATTCAGTAAAAAAAAGAAGCTTGATTGCAGACAGAGGGGGAAAAACTAACTTGGCATCCACATCCAGCTTTTGTGTCAAAATCTGTGACAGACACACACACACACACACACACACACACACACACACACACACACACACTGTGTTTAACTTTCTCATGGCCCATATTAATTCGGTTAACTGTGGCAATGGTTACTCTGAGTCCCTGCAGGCATTATAAAGCATTATTATCCTCACTTTATTATAGACTAGGAAATCATGGATCAGAGAGGTTAATGAGTTGATCAAGGTTTCTCATTTAGAAATGCCTAGGCCCAGGATTCCAACTCAATATTTCTGATTAAAAAGCCCATATAGTGCTCTCTCTATATCTTTCAAAAATATGATGTAGGATGAAGAGAAATGCCAGATTATCTATGCCCCATGCATAATCCAAATACATATGAATTCAAGATTTGGTTTTTTATTTATTTTTTTAATCCTTATTATGGCCTAAAATGGATAACCTTACTCAATGAAGGTTTTTGTTTGTTTGTTTGTTTTTACTTGAAAATATACATTTCCAGCCTCTTTAAACAAAACTGATTCCCTTATGGGTACTGCCTTTAGAAGAGGGGAGGGAATGAGTTCTACTCATTTATGGCTAATTTAAATCCTTTCTTTTAGTAGCCAGCCACCATCACAGAGCAGATCTAAGATAATCAGCAAACATTATTATTCCATCTCTTTGAGTTCACTCTTTGACAGATACCTAATTGTTAAACTTTGTTACCTAGAAACTCTGTGTACCTAGGTAGTGGTTTTGAAACAAAAAATCCATTTTGGAAACTTAAGTTGGTATTGCTGTCTACACTCATCACATGGAGAAGTGCCATGTTTTACTTCTCTCACTGCTGAGCCCAACACAGATCCTTCTCACTGGAAGGCCTTTGGAGGACACCAGCAGTCTTCTTCCATTGCCCGGGATTGCATCTAAGTCCACTGTGCTACCGCATTTCTCCCAAGTGAGTTACTTCCTTTTCTGGGTGTGTATTATCTTATTTTTATTTATTTATTTACATTCTTATTTATTAATTTTTATTTTTTACATATATGTTCCTATTCCCCCATAACCCCCACCCCCACTCATGTCCCACCCCCTGGGTGTGTGCATTATCTTAAAATGTCCAATTCATATGCAGAAAAGACAAGGAAAGAAAAGCATAATAGCTAAACAACCAAACCACCACCCCCCCAACACACACACACACACACACACACACACAAAAAAAAAAAAAAAAAAAAAACCTCCACAAAAATAAAACAACAACAAAACCCACTGCCATTACTTATTTGAAGATACAGTGTAAATTTTCAGGAACAACCTGTCAAAATTCTCTGAGGTTACTTTCCACCAAGGAGGAAAAACAGTACCCACATTTATTTTTAAGAAAAAAATGTCTTATTAACCAGCATTTTGCAAACAGGTAGCTCTCCCGCGGTTATTCTGTTAGAAGTGTAGGAATAAAATTGATCTCAGTTGCAGTATTTATGACAAAAACCTTCAACTCTTCATCTTCGTATTTACTTTTTGAAAATTAAAAAAGAAAAAAGAAAAAAGAAAAGCTCTTGGCAGGAAGCCTGCATTCCCCCAAGACCTGTCCTTGCACAGCACCTCCTGATGATTTCAAACACAACTAACACACTTGCTAGACTTGGGGCTTCACATACCAGCCTTGTGCTAAGTCATAGGTGGTTTATCTGAAAATCTTGGCTTCAGATGAACCTAAAAACGGTGGCTGAAAATGAAGGTGAACAAAAAATGAAGACCTGTAATGATGGTGACCAATTTTAAAGATTATTTGAAAAAATAGGGACAAAATTCTTCTCCCACGTGGTCTTTTAAAATTTCTTTTGACAGAAGAAACCTCTCCAAACAGAAAAAAAGGGCATCTCAAGACCATTAATTTACTCTATCAGTCTATAGTCATCATCTTAAAGACATAGGAGCGGGGGTGGGGGGTGAACAGATTTCTCCTTTCAGAGTTCTCTCTATGAAGCTTGGCTCGAATCCATTCTTTTTTCTTTTTTTTTTTTTTTTTTTTAACTTAAACAAGTATTTTAAGATTCAACTATGGAAAGAAGGAAGCAACAGGATCCGTGACGGAGACTGTGGGTTAGAACTAACCAAGGTTCCTTTAGTTCCTCAAGCCTCCTCTTCCACATTCTCCAAGCGCCCCCACTGCCGGGGGCCCAGATGCAGGTGCTGCTGTGCTGCGGTGCGAAGACCGAGCAACAGGAGACACGCCCGCCTCCCCTTCCCTCTCCACCGCACTCTCTAGGTGAGGGCTGGCCAAAGCTGCTGCAGAGAGGCAGGCGACAACCCCATCCTCCCCCGCCTCACCCCAAGGCGACAGAGAAACGTGCCCAGGAGTTCATTCACCGAAAGCGCAAAGCAGCGCCGGCGGCCTGCCACCCCGGAGGTAGCGCCGCACTGGATGGGTTTGGATTTGTTTCTGCATTTTCATCCCTCTCCTCCGAGCTGCCCCGGCGCGGGCTGCCTCTGTCCACACGTGTCCTTCACCGCGGGGACCCCGATCCTGGGCGCGCGGAGGGGTTAGGGCTCTAGACCCCCCCCCCCTTCCCTCCCTCAGTTTCCAGACCCAGCTCGCTCTGGGGCGCCAACGCGCCCACCTGGCCTGACCCTCGCGTCTGAGCCCCCCTGGGCGCCCACTCCCGAGGGCTGCAGGCTGCTCCCGCAGCCGCCGGAGGACGGAAACTTGCCCTGGGAAATAGGGGCTTCTGAGCCCAGCCCTGCGGACAAGGACCCCGGCGATCCCCGGGGAAGGCGGCTCCCTCCGGGCGAGCGGGCAGGGGGGCGAGTGAGTCCCTCCAGGAAGCAGCGCCCCGTCCCACGTTCCCTGCCCCGCGTCCGCAACGTGGGACGGGGCGCGGCATCCTCACCCCGAACCCCCTCCCCAATACCCTTCCCGGCCTCCCCACCCTGCGCCCCTCTGCCAGCCCGAGCCCCCTACCTCGAAAAGGAGCGGGATCTCCCTGCGGGCCAGGTACTCCTTGGCGTCGGCGGTGTTCATGGCTGTGCCGCGCGCGCCTCGGGCGCCGGCGGGGAGGCTCCGGGATGCGGCGGCGACCTGGGCTGGGGCGGGAGGGTCCGCGCCGGGCACCGTGCAGCCCCCGACCTCCCGCGCGAACACGCGCGCCGCGCTGCCCTCTCAGCCCCGGGCCCCCGCGCCTTTCCCCAGGGCTGGTGGTCTCCGCGCTCCCGCCACCTCCGCCTCGGCTCGGGCGCCCGCACCCAGGCTGCGGGCTGGGAGCAGCGGCTTCGCGGGTTCCCAGGCAGCGCGGCTGCCAGGGGAGGGCGGAGGGAGCGGCGGAGGGAGGAGGGAGGACGGAGAAGCGGACGCCAGGCTGCAGACTGCCCGCCCGCCTCCCGGGCTCCGCGCGCTGCTCGGCCCCTCCCCAGCCGGGTCCGCCTCTGCGGCCACTCAGGCTGCGGGGGGTGTGTGTGTGTGGGGGGGGGGGGAGGTTGGGGGGAGGGGACTGGCGGGCGCTGGGGGGCTACCAGTCACACCCCTCCAGGTCGCCAGGGGTACCCAGCAACCTGGGACCAGGTGGTCAAAGGAACGGAGTTGGGGGGGAGGGGAAGCTCTAGGAACCTGCGACCTTTTCACTTCTCCGCTCCCACCCCCCACACCGTTACTCACGCGTCCCTAAGGAACTCCCAGGAAAAACCCTAATTGTCACGGAATTTTATGATTTATTCTCTAAGATCGCGATCTTTCATAATAAAAAGACTTGGGGGAAGGCGGAAAGAGGGATCTGAGGTGTGGAATCCATCTCCTTAAAACAAGGTTTAGATCTTGGGTATGTCTATCCTTCAGGAAAGTTTTGCTAGCTGGTTTTGAATTTTTTTTTTCCGGTCTGTGACACAAATTCTTACAGATTTCAGTATGAGGCCTCACAGTAGCCTGACATATTCATTAACGGGAGGATTAGTAAGTAGATAACTAGTAACTTATCTCCATAGAGAGGAATGGGAAGATAGAGGAGAGAAGTAGGTGGTATGGTGGAAAGCTGCTGAAATTGAAAACATGGCTGGTAGGTGGGGTGGGTGGCAGCATTAATTAGAGCTGAGGAATATGCACCCAGTGGGCCATCCATCACTCCAGCGTGAGTATGGGTGGGTGCCTGCAGACAGCAATGTAGGTGAAGGATCTTATTATCGAAGAGTAGCCATCTTCTTCCTCTCCTCCAAGATGACTCATTTCCTCCATTAAAATATCTTTTCATTGGCTGTTTGAAAGAATGGCCCATGGCACACTGAGACTATGATCTTGAACTGTGTGCAAGGCCTGATCCTGTGGGAGGGAGTGTGAGAGAAAGGGAGGCTCCGATAGGAGCTGACATCTGGGTCTGGCCAGAGGGAGAAGCAATATTGCAACTGATCCCAAACTATCAGGGTCTGATTGTCCATTACAGATCTTTTCTTCATTCTCCTCCTCCCCCTTCCCCCCAAACATCTGCTTCTCAAGCCTTCACTGTGGCTGCCTTTTTTTGTTTTACCCAAGGGAGGAAAGTCAAGAATTAATTGAGTTTTGTAAAGTAAATGAAATTTTTCTGAGCTCTTGTGAAACCATGCGTCAAATGGTAGTCTTAAACGAGACAGGTGTTCCAGTTCCTGGGAAATTGGTTTCTGCCCTCAGAATATGCCACATCACTTACAGGTCCACCTTCCATTTTTTGACTCACAGTCGTGGTGAAAGCACTGTCTTTTCCCTAGGTAACTGCTTGGGAAGTACTAGCGTTCCTGGCATGAAGGCTTACTTTTGCACAGGCACAGCTAGGACTGAAGAGGCCACGTTCTGCAGGACCGGTCAAGGCCATCCTTTACAGAAAAGAATCCGGCAGAGCTCAGCTCACATCCTCTCTCCCGGGGAGAAACGTATCCTAAGGGCACATTAGGGTAATCGGGCCAGGATGGCAACTTGCTTATGTGACGAGAGTACGTAAGAAAAATGGCGTTGCTCTGAATATTCTAGATAGCCTGGAAAACATAGCAACTGGAGAGATGGCAGACTTTCAGATAGCCTTAAGTACGGGCAATCAGTACTTTTTGGTGTGCTCCAGATGTATGAAGGAGGCAAGGTGTTCATAATTACTTTTGCAAAGGGGGTGGTGGCCTGCTAGGGGAGAGAGCTGCTAGTACATGATGCTCACAAGACAGGCTGATGATTTGGAAGAGGAAAGAGAAAGGACAAGGAACAACAAATACATCCTTCATCCTTGCCATGGGAAAGCTGGCCCACTAGTCCCTGCGATGAAGTACTAGGGCTGGGTGTATAAAGGGTTCATGGCCCTTTGCTCTTTGTTTACTTGGGGATGCATTCCTGCAAGTGCTAACAAATCAAGATAGTCGCTGCATGTCTGGTGTCTCTACATAGAGTTTCTTCTGTTCCCACGATGGGAGAGTGTGCTGGGTTCTGAGAAACAGCAGTAAATAAGACAGACATAATCCCTGCTGTCGAGAGCTTAGATTCTACTGTAGAGTGCGTGTAATGAGCAAATAAAAATGCATAAACAACATCAGATAGAGATAAATGATAGGCAAACATTTAAAATATCTCCCCTCCCAAAGACATAAATAAAAACATATTAGATAGTGATTGATTGAATGATGAAAATCAAACAGACCTAACTGTTTATTTGAAACAAGGAGTCACTGTTCAGCTTTGTTTGCCGGAAGTGGCAGAGGAAGTGGGAATGGGGATAACCATTGGGACAATAACTTAGAACTTTTCAGAGGTCCAGAGGAGGAGGCTGTTGGTGGGAATGTTTCTCTGGATGATTATTTAAGAGGGCTCGCTGCTGACACACGAGCTAGGTCTCCACAAAGAGTGAACCTACTCTGTGGTCTGTTAATCAAGTGTCTGTTGGTGAGAACCATTCACTCCATCCACACGAAGAAGGCTCAACGGCTCTATACCCGGAACAGCACTTCCCAAAACACAAAGAAGGCTGGAGCCTATGCTTATTCCCTTCCTCGTCCACTCCTAACAGATATTTATACTGTGTACAATTTAACGGGGGCCTACTGAAAACTTTATCAGTAAAGTGCAAACTATTTGTCAGTTTCTTGCCCCAGGACAGGAGCCTAAGGGAAATCAGCCATAGGCACTGGTGTGGAGAGTTATGACGTGATGACTGGTTTGGCCAGAGTGCGAGATAAAAATATACCACGTGTTTGTTATGAATCAAGACCTGTGTTAAACACTCTATAAAGTATATTGCATAGTTATATATATGTCATATTTAATTCTTAATCTGTAAAATATGTATCATTCTCATTATATAAATGAAATAGCTCAGACTCAGAGAGTCTTATTTCAAGGTAATACTAATAGTGTTAGTCCAACTGCAAAACCCTATGCAACTTCTTCCCTGAGGGCAGCAGCATCATAATGGCTTTTAAGTACTTAATTATTCAAATAATTAAGCCATCATAATGACGTATGAAGTCCTGCAACAATATTTTCTTTGTACCTTTCGGTGTTTTCGAGGGGTCCTTCCATTCTCCTTTACCTTTTTCCTTCCTTCCTTCCTTCCCCTCTCCCTCCCCCAACTTTGTATTTGGGTTGTATGTGTTATTTAAAACACAAGCACAACAAAACATGTATAAGAACAAGTTTATCTCAGTAGATTTTCTAATTGTTCAGGGTTCTTTTAGGTTTGAAAGTTTTTGCTTGACTCAGAGATTGAATAGACAACACATCATTCCTATTTATTGAATCCTTGAGTGTTGCATTTTTCTCATTCAGCACAAAAAAATCAATATCACCCTCCTAATTACTCTATTTCCTTCACTAATTGACAACCTACTGGGCCATTTGTACTCTTCTGGGCAATTTGTAAATATTTTGTTTACCCAGAAAAAAAAACCCCTAAACCCTATAAGATATTCAATATATGTCTATATTGTCCAAAGAAACACTCCCCTTATTCACATGTATTTGTTTTAGAAGGTCTTTCTGAGGCTTTTGCTTTTTTTGTGAGTGTAATAATGTACAAACTGATCTGTGAAATCTGGGGTAACCGTAGTCTGAAATAATGGTGTATAACACAATTCTTTGCCCAAAGCAGATTTTCCCTGATGCTCTATTTTCCCATACCAGCTAAAGAGCTGAGCCAGACACTGGGATTCTGGATCTCAAAGACCTCTACGAATTCTTGAGTCAGAGAGTAAAAGATTTAAAACTCTCCCCTAATGTCTGAAAGCATTAAAAAAAATCTCCACCTATGTAATAACATATACTAAGAATAGCTAAGATTTGTAAAATCCTAACTATTCAGTAATTTATGCATTCATTAATCAAACAATTATGAAATAATCTTATAGATACTAGGCCTGTGTTTGGAGCTGGGAATATAAAGAACAAGACTAAAGGGGTTTAATGACTATAGAAAGAGATGTACTTGTAATAATTAAATACAGATAAATGTAATAATGCTTTAATAATCTGATAGAAGTAGCTATGTGGAGGAAGGTTGTTACGGTGGGGACACAAAAGTACATGACTCATATAAATCCATATATGGTGAAGAGTATTTAGAAAGTTTTAAAAAGAGACTTCACTCAATGTTTCTTCACTACCCCCCCAAAAATTATTGGACTACCATTTGCCACCAACCAGATCTGAAATATGTCAAGGCTGACATGTACACATAAGGAACTGTTTGACATTGAAATTGGGACTCAAAAGAACTGTTGGCCCAGAAAGGAACTCACTACAGACTGATTTATTTGCCTCTCAGCATAACCATTATTGCTTGTCTCATTTTTGGGTCTTATAAGGATATTTCTCGTATCACCTGATCTCATGCATCTAGAGGAAATAATGAACAACATAAACTGATGAACAAAAACAGACTCAGAGACAGAGAAGCAGAAATCAGACTGTCAAACCTCAGAGGGAAGTTAGGGGAGGGTGAGGGTAAGAGGGAGAGATCAACCAAAGAACTTGTGTGCATGCATGGTGGTCATGGACAACAGGGGGGTGGGAGCATATGTGGGGAGGGT